AGAGTCATCTAATGTATCACTTTTTATTATTTTTTTTGAACAAGTTGGCAACTATGAATCAGCCAGGCTAATGTTTTTTTTTTTTCATCATGGCCTTTTGGTTTATAAAGAATTCATGATTTCAATTGTTATAATTTTATTTTCTCTGATGAAAACTCCATTTTTGCTTTTTCTTGCGCTTGATTCTATTTTTGAATAAATACACATTGTCGAAAATTAAGATGGAGTTTCGATTGATCGGCTGATGTGCGAGCTGTGAAAAAATCGTTATAATAAATGAATTCGTACATTTCGTGAAATTCATCACCGTTCCTCTTTATAAATGAATTCTATATTTTCCAAACAGAGGCAAAGATGAAAATGCGGAGAATTAGTTAATTTTAACTAATAAGTCATCAAATATTGAAACGAGTTAGTTTAACAATCATATTATCAAGTTTTGTTATGTTATCTGATGTTGCAGAAATGAATATAATTAATGCTAACTCGATGTCAATTGAAGCTCGATGATGTAGAACAATCCTATTATAAATATGAAAAAAGTTAATTATTATATATATCGGGATTTAAGATTGTAATCGAGTTTTATTTCTTTTTCTTCTTATTTTCTATTTAGAATACGATTTGTTCTTACTTTTATGTTACGATAATATTTTCTTAGGATTTTAGTTTAATTTTCTTATTGGTAAGATTATAAAATTATTTTTACCTATATAAACAAAATTTTGTACACTTTTCAATAAACATATTCATTATTATTTTTACATATTTTTGTGTTTTTGGAAAAAAAATCAATTCCTCTTCCGGTCAACAACCTAATTGCTAAAATATTAATTTCCCAAACAATTTTCATTGAGTAATGTTATTTAATCCGACTGGAATTACAACCTCAATCTATGTGACGTTAATGTGTCATTAAATGATATATGAAATTACATAAATCATTTAATTTCATATTTTATTCGACGTATCATTTAATGACACCTGGACCGGATCGTAACCCGCTCCATGGCATTACTCACTTTCATATAGAAAATATCAGCGAAAAAAATAAACAGAGAAATAGAGAGATCCGTCTTCATTGTCTCGCCGGAGCTAAATCACCTGAAAATTCTTTCGCTGTTTTGTTCCAATAGTCATCTGCACTTGATCTCTCTGTAACCATGGTAATACTCCGATCTTTCTCTATTGTATTTATTAATTGGCCTTTTTTGTCATTTTATAAATTTTGATTTGTATTTGATATTTGTTTACGTTATTTTTCGTAATTATGCTTTGTAATGGTTTAATTTAAAATTGTTCACTCGTTGTTATGCTTATAAATTTGCTAACTTGACCTCAATATACATAATTTAGCGTCAAATACCAATAACAAGGACGTAGAAAGAATAGATTATAATTATAACTTATCTGAGATCAGATGATGTTGTGGGAAAGTAGGAATTACAGCTGAATTGGATAATGACTTATACAATTAACAACATTTTGATTATTACACTGGGAAGCATCAAATCTTTATGATGTATTGCATCACTGGAAAGCAAAAATCTTTAGTTTT